CAGAGCCTGTTTCCGTGTTTAGGTTTGCATGCTCCCAGTTTGCAAACTGTCCTTCTGGAATGTGCACAATAAACGTGTTAATTACTGCTTGGGTGAGTCATTGGCTTCACTGTTTATGTACCGTTGACTAAATGCTCTGCACAGTATGTCCTTACGGAGCTCGTCTCATGACAGCAGGGGCCCTAAGAAGCAGGTGCTTCTTGGTTAGAAGGACTGAGGCACAGCGCACGAGTGGCTCACCCAAGGCCACGGAGCTGGGGGAGCCCCGGGACCCGTGGTCTCAGCCCCTGCGACGGGGCACCCTGCAGAGAAGACACACAGAGGGAAGTGGCAGCCCCGGCTTCTGAGCACGCCGCCCTCTAGAAGTGAGAGGGGCCTGCACCCTGGGGGTGTCTGCCCTGGTCTGACCACCTGTGCTTTCCTCAGATCATTTGACTTTAACCTTCCCATCTTGCTACTTTTATAAACATCTTTGGTTGTGCCAGGCTGCAAACGGTTCCATGCTGACAGTACTTTCTGTCCCCCCCATACAGATGCGTACCCTAATTCCGAAGTGGTCTATGTCTGGACCAACGGCACCACCAAGTCAGTGGTGGTGGCAGAAGACGGCTCCAGGCTGAACCAGTACCACCTGATGGGGCAGACGGTGGGCACCGAGAACATCAGCACCAGCACAGGTAGACCCCCCGCCACCGCACAGGACGCGTGCCCCGCTAAGTGACCCGGGCACAAGGAGCCCTCCGCGCCGGGCCCCCTCCCCACAGCCGCGCACAGGGCGCCAGCTGTGACAGCCACGGCATTAAGGGTCATGCGAGGCATTAATCTGAGGTGCACTTGCCTCCCTGCGAGCCAGCCCACTGACTGCCAGCCCTGCCCGGAGGCCCCCCCACCCCCGACTGCTTATATAACCCATCACCTGCCCCGACCAGGCACTGGGACCTTCTGGCGGCATCTCTGCAGCAAAGATAGAGAGCTTCCTGCAGGTACTCCCACTTACCTGCCCTGCTCCCTCCTGCTTTGAACATTTCAGAGATTTCCCGGGGGCAGAATTCGGGAAAGCACCACCAAACAGCACAGAGACAGCCGAAGCCTTGGCAGGAAGGGAGCAGGTGCTCTCACGCCCAAGGGCACAGGGCAGCCTGGCTTAACGCGACACAAAGCAGGCGGGATGTCCACAGGCACCGAATGCGTTCCCTTCCCACACCTGCAAGGTTGTCCTCAGACCCCTCCTGGCCACAGGAGGCCCAGGGGAGGGTACTCCGGGGCTCCAGAGTGTCTCCACCATGTGACAGGGGTGGAGCGTAAGCTCTAAGCCCCACATGTCACCCTGGTCCGCGTCTCTGTCAGTATCACCAATCCCAGAGCTGGCTGGAAGCACACACACGCCGCCTCTCACAGGCACTCAGCACCTGCCCCCTGGCGCCAGCTGGCATCCCAGGGCCGGGGAGAGATCCCGGCAGGGCTGGGAGGAGGCTGCCGCCCCGTGTGCTTACCAAGTTAGAGGAAAAGGAAGAGGAAGCACCTGATTTTCCAGGAACAAGAGGCGAGGTGGCACACAGGTGGGCGTTTGGGGTTAGGCTTTGCAGCGCTGATGGAGGAAGCTATTGTTTGGAGCTGTTTCCTGCCGTTCTTTAAAGAGGTATAAATGGGGCTTCTGATGGTCTTTTTTTTTTTTAACATTATCTGATATTGCTACTCTCAACTCAAAAATAAAACGGGATGAAAAGAACCACGACAACAAAAAGAATTATATGCAGGGGAGTCACTCCAAGTCCTACTGCAAAGAAACAGAAAGGCCTACTCCCCTCGTCCAGCCCTGGGAGGCACAGTCGGATCTGATAAAGATCCAATCCTTGCTCCTAGACGTCTCTTGCCTCCCTTCTCTTGGTCCCTGTCGCCTTCCGCTGGGTCGGAGCCCACTGCCCTCCTCTCGCCTGCTCACACCTGAAATCTGGTCTCCTCTTCTGTAAGAGGGCAGAGTTTTGCCACATGTGATCTTCACCTACAGCGTGCTGCGGGCAAAGGCCCGAAGGGACACAGCCACAGCTGGCCCC